CCCACTTTTAACAGGAATTCTTCCATTGTGACACTCAATGATGGCATGTCTATTAGATTAGCACTTTGGCGTGAGTGCTACTGGCAAACTGTGGTGTTATATATCCCACAGAATCCAATAATGAATAGGCTAAGGTAATAACATCAGCTGCCATTATTATAATGTAATAACACCGCCTGTTATCAGAAAACATCAGGTGTGCCTATTAGACTCAAGTCATACATTTTTTAAGTGTATTTTCTTCTAAAATTATTATTATGTTAGGTTATTATTATGTTGATTTTTGTTTGCTTGAGCTGCATCACTTTTGGATGAAAAGCATGAAATACTAGGCTCCTTGTGTTGCTGCGGGTTTATTCCCCTTGCAAATAGGCTGTAAACACTAAGTGTGCTTTGAATAATATAATCCTGATTCAAGCCCACGTTTGTGTCAGCTAATGCATATAAATAAAATTTGATATGAAACTAATAAACCCACGTACACATTTTGCATGCATGTCTAGTTGTATGTAAATGGAAAAAAAAAAAAAAGTGAATTGAACAGAGACCTTGTATCAGTGATGAGATACACTGAAAATGTATTGAGTTACATAATACTGTATTAAAATGTATATCATCATGTATTATGATACACGGTCCAATCAGATTACAATAATAATATTCAAAATACTTAGAATACTTTTATACATGTTAGATTTAGCTTGGTCATATTTGGGTAAGTAAAACATTTTAAACTGGTTTAAATTTCATTAGACAACAGAACGCAGCCTGCCACCCATGTGTGTCAGACCCATGGTACAAGTATGCAGCTGCACATACAACATAATAGTTCCTTTCTAACTGTTAACAATAGAGCAACTGTTCATTCTTCTGTAATATATAATTGTTTGTAGATCTGTAAGCCACTGTCCTGCTACATGCATACATTTCAGTGAGATCAGTGACAGTCATTTGTTATTTCATGCATGTCGATGTGATTATTGTGTTTTCTTGGTGATTACTGGTTCAGATAGACTACTTTTGATTTGGAGTCATTTTGGGCTAGTTTGAACAAAGAGTTGATCAACAGGTTTACCTCATTTTACTTAACACTAAACATACAAGTAGAGAATCTAATACAAAGTAATCAGATTTGGAGCCTCTATAAGTAAAACACAAAATAAGCAGAACAGAACATTTTAGGATGAATGAATAACTCCTTTTTGAGCAAAATAGTCAAATAGAAAATCTACACATATATGGAGCCTGCCCAAATATTATAAATCCTCTCAATGAACAACAATGGTGCCTCTGTGTTTGAACTATATCACCACTTTATAAAATATAAATAACTTTATTTTAGTCCGTTTGTGATGACTTTGCCAATTTGTTTCATGTAGATAATCCGATCTACCATGGTGCCATGTCAGAGGCATTGGTGAGCCGTTACTCGGTATACTGATCTTTGATGAAGATTGCAATTACAGCGACATTAAACATAAACTGTACTGTTGTTTTTGTTATGTTGTTTTTTTTTACCAGTTAAAAAGGAAAATTGTCATAAAATCCTCACCTGCTATGGACAACTTCTCTCATTATCTTGTCTAAACAAATCAAGATGCTCACACATTGGGGATTGTATTTATCAAATGTTTATATTGTGTTGTAGGTGATTATCAGTGTAAATATTGCATGTCAAGAGGCCACTAGATGTCAGCAGTGGCCATCTATTTACCCAATACTGACAGTAGTATTACTGGACAATCCACATAGAAGTCAATATAAGAATATATTATTCTACTGCAACATGTGCGCTACTGTGTGTTTTCCTGTGAGTCAGTAAGGTTTGTCAAAGTATTGTCTCCAAGTCAAATAAATAAAGCATAAAGCAGTATTTTTCTGAAATTTTAATAGAAAATTATTGATTGTACAGCAAATCAAACCGACAGCACCATTTAAACAAAATAGTTTATTTAGAAAAAAAGCCCTCTTAAGTAGTTTAATCAAATACAGTGAAAAAGCTGCCAAAGTCTACTTGGAAGAGATGTCTTGTCACACTAAATCTACAACACATACAGTAACTACAGTAACTACAGTAACAGCATAATGTAAGCAGTACTGAAAATAACATTGATAAAAAATAAACACAGATCTTTGGAAATGGCATGAATGAACCAAAATGTAAAAGTTAATTCTCCTTTTCTTTGATTGCCTCTTTGTTTTTTCTGACCTCCTCGAGCTTTTTATCCTGTGGGCATAAAACAATTAAAAACATGACTCTTTTATCTTTACACCTGTGGGTTCAGTTATTTGGAGCATACCTTCTCCTTAAATTTCTCATTGAGAGCAGCCATCTGTGCATTGCGGTTCTCCTTGTTGGCCTCCATTTTCTGAACAAGTTTTTCCTGTGCCATCTTGCTAAAGTTGCAGCTTTCTTCGATGGCTTTCTGGATCACCTCCTTTTCATGTTCACGTTTTTCAGCCAAATGTTTTAGTACCTCAGCTTGCTGACTCTGAAAACATGTAAATAAAAATCAAATAAACATGATAAAATTATATGACATGATTTCGTACAATAGAAATGTGGCTACCTTGCGTCTCTCTTCTGCAGCCTCGAGTTTTTTCTGGATTTCATCAAGTGATGTTGCTTTTTTCCTCAGAGGAGACAAAGGGAAGTCTTTGGCTTCTGGGCTCGTGGGTGTCAGGATCACCTCAAATGCTTGACCCGAAGCTCGCTTGTTGAGAACCTTTACTTGCATATCTGAACAAAGAACATAAAATAAATTATTAGCAAGAATTTGTGTGGGATTGTAATGTAATGCAATACTACAACTATTGCAAGAATCACTGCAGAGTATTGCAGTTTCAAATTGGAATGAGGCGAGACGCAATTCCCACAAAACAAGATGAGACATAAGATCTGGACAAGACAAGATTTTGATTTAATTTATAAGACGTAAATCGTGCTTCAGTTCACAATTTCATGTACTTTATCACTTATTGCACTGCTTTCTGAAAGACACCTGTAAATACAAAAAAATGTGTGCTGATAATATTATGTCAATTTTATCATCCTTGTGGCACAAAATCTTGTCTCATCCCTAATTGCTGACATGAACATTAGATTTTAATTTGTTTTCTTACTTCCAGAGTCCATCTTTGCAGTTGTATCTTTACAATCACTAAAAGAAAAAAAAACTTGAATGAATACATATTGTTTAGCACATGCTCCAGTCAGTGTACAAAAGATGTGATGAGTCAAATTAAAGTTTACTACATGTAGTTAGTTAATGATCCTTCCTATCATTTTATGCAATTTTAACACATACACCTACTCTGCAACATGTGCTCTGTGGTGTTTAATGTGGTACAATAATGATGTTACTTATGTAGTCAGAAACGTGACATGACATGCCAAACAAAACAAGCTCTCCACTCCTCTCACTGGTGCCCCTGAGCTAGAATCAACTGTGTAATTAACGATGTGCACAAGAATGGGGTGTACTGTTGAGCAAACAAACGTGGACTTACATAATAATGCTTATCAAATGCATTCAAACAAATTATGATATATACATTTGGTTTAAAATGGTGTTATTGTTTGCCTAAAAGTTTAAAACCTAAAGAAGCCCAATTAATTTAGCCAGAAAACAAATGAAAATAAAATGTAATTGTATTTTGAAGTCTGACTGACATGAAAAAAAAGTGGGATGACAGATTTTTTACTCGACCAACTTGCTCAGTTACATAATGTTTACACACACCATTCACGTGTTTATTTTTCTTTTTTAAAAGGATAATTCATTAGGTTATCAACACAACACTAATACATTATTGGTCGATTCTTGCTAGTATTTTCATAAACATTTCCCTAGATGCAAAAACTAGACTTCTTTCCATAGGTTGCAGTGTTAAATTGATCCAGTAAAGATAATATCCTTGACTTATTCTAGTGCTTCCAAAAGTCAAATCCATCGACCCTCACATTTACTGATCCTTCTTTAATCTGTCTGAAAGCTCTTTGTCCATTATAATACAAAGCATTGTTCTCACCGTCAAGTGCCAGCTTCAGACCTGAGTCTTTTCTTCTTTTCAGACCGCCAACCTCACTCTGCAGCTTCGCGCACAAACCGCGCACCAAAAGGATGCGCAGCCCGGGCGTCACTGAAGCGTGCACCGCCATTGGTTAAAGCCAGCCAATCACTGCACGCGCTGGGGTTTAGGGCGCGAGATGGTCCTTCAGCACACCAGAAGACCCTACTATGAACCAGAGGAGAGCAGAGATCTTTAGGACGGCAGAAATCAGTCCTGGCGAGGAAACCTGTCTCATGTACTCTTTTCCATTGTCTCCAAACAGAGCATTAAACGTACAATGAAAGTGCAGAACAAATTTACTGAGATCTGAACTGTTCAGCCAATAAACGTCCATTTGATATCGCTTATACAAACAATTGGAGCTGTACGCGCATAGCACCCACTACTGTACTAACAGTAGTAGTGCTATGCCCACGGGGTCCTCTCCGTACGATAAACATCTGCTGCTGAATGAGCGGATGAACTCGATTTATGTTGAAATTATTACTTGCGGAAATTGGGCTTTTATTTTTAAAATCCAGTTCACAACTTCCGCTTTTTAGTATTTGTGTTTGGAACACGGAACAGCCTGAGTTTAGATCGTCCTGTATAACTCACATCGATCACAATGGGCGCTTGTATGGCTTTATGCTCTTTAGCGAGCTGTGTAAGTATATTACATTACATTATGGTCGATAGTAGTCATTTTCTGTGTCTGACCTGTTTACGCTCACGCTAGCTGACTAGCCTGGTTTTCTCTTGTGTTATTCATGTGTAATAACAACTACAACGTTACATCCATAGGTTTTTGTACATATTCTGTTGTATAAATATTATAGCCTATCTAAAGTTAAATTCACTCGAAGCCAAAGGCTATCAAAGGTCATACGAGAGCACTCTGCGTTATGTTACCGTCAGTGTTATTAATGTTAGCCAGCATAAGGAGTTAAATATAGGAGAAGGAGTTGAATATAGGAGTTAATCATTGACGTAATTTATTACAGAAATAGCTTTGATGTTTTAATTGGTGAACTATCTGCAAAACGAATGCCTTTAGCCACAGGCAGCTGGCCTACATTTCTACTAAACTGGAACACTTGTTACTTATCATGCCATAAACGCAGGTGGGCTGTGGCCAGACCCATAGCTGCTACATGACGTTTTGTTTATTCTCTAAAGGCGTCCTGTCTGTGCGGCTCCGCGCCATGCCTCCTCTGTGGCTGCTGTCCATCCTCTAATAACTCCACCATCACTCGCCTGGTCTTCTCTATTTTCCTGCTGCTGGGAACCACGGTGTCTATAATAATGATCCTTCCGGGAATGGAGACTCAATTACGCAAAGTGAGATGGTTTATTTTTACAACTGGTTTATTCATTGGTATTAATTGTTATTAATACAACTTATGTTCTTGTGCAATAGATCCCAGGATTTTGCCAAGGGGGAGCAAGTATACCAGGCCTTGAAAACCAAGTCAACTGTGATGTCATTGTTGGTTACAAGTCCGTCTACCGCATGTGTTTCGCCATGACATGCTTTTTCTTCTTGTTTTGTGCCATCATGATCCGCGTGCGCAGCAGTAAAGACCCTCGAGCAGCTCTTCAGAATGGGTGAATGCTCTTATTTAAACCTATAAGTAGCATATAAGCACAATAGATTTACAAACTGTGCACCAAAGTGTGCAGTCTTGGTCAGTAGTTAGAAAGGTGATTTATGTGTTTAATTAATTTTCTATTTTAGGTTCTGGTTCTTCAAGTTTCTCATTCTAGTTGGGATAACAGTGGGAGCATTTTTCATCCCTGATGGAACATTTAACACAGGTATTAAACTAACGTTTTTATGCTGTACTCTTTGCATTTAATTTTGTGAGTATTTATTCTTATTATCTATCTCACCTTAACATAATTTGTATTTCCAGTTTGGTTTTACTTTGGAGCAGTGGGGTCATTCATCTTTATCCTGATTCAACTAATTCTCCTCATTGACTTTGCTCATTCTTGGAACAAAATCTGGGTTGAAAATGCAGAAGAGGGTGATAACAAAGGCTGGTATGCAGGTAAGACATCTTAGTGGCCATACCAGCTTGTCAAAGCCTGATCCCGTCAGATCTCAAAAGCTAAGCAGGGCCGGGCCTGGGTAGTACTTGGATGGGAGACCGCTGGGAATTCCAGGTGCCACAGTGGGGCGCCACTGGCAAAAACTGTCGCTGTGTCCTCAGGCAAGACACTTCACCCACATTGCCTAGTTTGAAAGTGGTGTGTGTGAGTGATGGTGGTGGTCGGAGGGGCTGATGGCGCAGATTGGCAGCCTCGCTTCTGTCAGTCTGCCCCAGGGCAGCTGTGGCTACAGTAGTAGCTTACCACCACTGAGTGTTTAGTGAATGAATAATGAACTGCAAAGCGCTTTGGGTATCTTGAAAGGCGCTATATAAATGCAATGATTATACTAATTAAAAATTAATTTGTATATTCTTTTCTTTGACTTTTGCCTTTATATATTGTTCAATGTTAAATATATATTTTCTTTCACAGCCCTGTTGTTTTTTACTGTCCTTAACTATGCCTTGGCCATAACTGCGGTGGTACTGTTCTATGTTTACTACACTCAGCCTGATGGCTGCACAGAGCACAAGGTCTTCATCAGTCTCAATCTCATCTTCTGCGTCATCATTTCTGTTGTGTCCATCCTGCCCAAGGTTCAGGTACAGAAGCAACAAATACATTAGTAATACAGGACAATAAGTCTATACATTCCTTAGAGGTCAATGTTTGACGTAAATAATTGTTTTAAAGTAATAATAATAAATCATGACTCAAAGAAATGTGATTATGATTTGTTTGTTCAATAAGGGAGCAGCCCTGTTCCTTTATGCAAAAGAAAAAATAATAAGGCTTAGAGTGATGCATAATAAGAACCTAACCTTTACTTCAAACTTATTTCACAAAAAGTTATCTTGAAACAAATAACCATGGAAACCTTATATTTATGTCTGTTGCAGGAGGCCCAGCCACACTCTGGTTTACTTCAAGCTTCAATCATTTCTCTCTACACCATGTATGTCACCTGGTCTGCTATGACTAACAACCCAAGTGAGTTTTTGACTTTCTGTACTTTTCTGTAGTGTTGCTCTGATTTAAAAATGTATATAACTTTTTATTCAATTCAAAATTTTGACCCACAACTGATTTATTTTAACACTATTATTATCAGTACTTGTAGTTTTACCCCAGATAAAATTCAAGCAGATTTCAAGCACCTTTAAGCTATTATATTTTTTCCCTCTGCGTCATTTATTGCACAGCTGTTTTTCCATACAAATGTATATATTTATTTATATCTATTCTACATATTGAGCCACCACTGCTATATTTTAGCACCTTTATTTAATCTGAATGTTTGGTGGGGTTTTTTTGTATTTGCATTCTTAGACCGGAAGTGTAACCCAAGCCTCTTGAGTCTTATGTCAAATGTCAGCACAACAGAGACTACTGGAGACAATCCTGGACATGTCCAATGGTGGGATGCTCAGGGCATTGTTGGATTAATCATTTTCATTTTCTGCACTCTCTATGCCAGGTAAACAGAGTTTGTACAGCAAACAATAACCCATACTTCTGTTTTTACTAAACCTTTATTTCTCCCTCTGTAGTATCCGTTCGTCTAGTAATACCCAGGTAAACAAGCTGATGCAGACTGAGGAGACTGGGGGGTCAGGGGGCGGGGGAGTGGTGGGGGAGGATGGAGTGCTCAGAGCTGTGGACAACGAGGAGGACGGTGTCACCTACAGCTACAGCTTTTTCCATTTCCACCTCTGCCTGGCTTCGCTCTACATCATGATGACCCTCACCAACTGGTACCAGTAAGTAGAAGGCACCCATGACTCACAACCAGTAAAATATGTGTTACTGCAAGTTATTGCATGACCAGATAAACTGTATAAAACTTAATACCAACCCTTTTTGGAAAGTTGCTATAGATTTTGTTGTGCAACTGAATAATATTGAACATGGAAGTCTGGAAAGGTATATGGAATATTCTTATTACACAATAATCAGAGTCTGATCATCAAGGAATATAAATATATATATATATATATATATATATATATATATATATATATATATATATAATATATATATATATATATATATATATATATATATATATATATATATATATATATATATATATGAATATGACCACCAGAGGGCAGAATACGTCTTCACTTTACACTAGTTTTCCCACATATTTCTGCTGAAATCATTACTTGAAAATTATATTATATATGGACTGAACTGTAGTATAATTTTGTTTGATTTATACTTTTTTAATGCTTATGATATTACAAGTAGCAAAAAATAATTGTTTGCTATACCAATACTCTTGCCCAGTGTGTTTTGTTTTTGTTTAGACTAAGGGAGAAATTTGATTGTTTTTCACATATCCCTTATTACCCATATAGGCCTGATATTACTGTGAAAGTGTCAATATAATCTTTGTTCCCCGATAGGCCTGACACTACTACCCAGGCTATGCAGGACCGTATGCCTGCAGTGTGGGTGAAGATCTGCTCCAGTTGGCTGGGACTTGCACTCTACCTCTGGACTCTCATTGCCCCTCTCATTTTTCCAGACAGAGATTTCAGCTGATGTGACCCATTTAAATGCACTTATGGTACTTACACTAAAATGAAGGATGCTGGTGAATTGTGTTGATGAAGAATACATTTCACATATCTTGGGTACTTTGGAAGATAATCAAACTGCTTCTGTCATTTCATATATTAATGTTAATAGGTAGTGTATGCTAGTGTTTTTCAATGTTTTCTTTTTGTCTTTTTTTTTTGCATTAGTTATTGAATAGCCTTAATTTGTCAGTGCAAGGATAATGTGGTCTTGTTTCATTGCTTAAGCACTAATATGTTACTACTTGTGTACCTACTACAAGAGGTAAAAGTAAAACTTGTATTCTGATTGGTTAAGTCTGGAATTCCCTAAACAGCTATTTGTGTACACACTCTAGTGGAGGCAGCCTTTTTCAGTGCCCCTTAGATATACAAGTGTGGAAGTAAGATAAGAGCCAATTGACCCGCCCATAACTGGGGTTTCTTCACTACAGCAGGGAATGTATTAAAATCAAACAACTTAAATGCAGTATCATTTTTGTACCAACAGCTATGTCCTACCTGCAGTCCTTAACTTTATTTACAATTGGTTGTATACAGAACGAAAAGTAGTAGGAAATAGTGAACCCTGTGGACAATGTCACTTTATGATGGTGGTTGTATTATTATTTCAAAAAGGGAAGACATTTGAAATTGCTAGTAAAATGTTTAAATTATGCATTGCTGTAATATAATGTATTATAGTTACCTCAAGTTCATTGAAAATTGTTAATTCAATCAGTACATGCTGTCCTGAAATCATTCAAGATCCTGTTATTTTTAGTCTTTCTCATGAATTTAGGATGTTTTATTTTTTTTTAATGCAATATTATTTCATGTCTGACAGAGGAATGATAATTTTTGCCAACACAATTTTTTGTGAACACTAACAGTGCCTTTTCAGTGCTGTAATATTATTATCTTGTGAATTGTCACAATGTTTGCTAATTGATTTTATATCAGCTGGTAAAATTACCGTGTAACCAGAATTTGCCAGATGAAATGGAATCATATTCATTTACCTTGAAAAATCTTTATTAATAAAAAATAAGGATGCTATTCTCTTTCATGTTTCATTGGTTTTCAAAAACACCATTTGCACTTACACTTGCATTGGGCATTTAGGTAGAGTACTTCTGGATGTTGTTATTCTAAGGGGCTCATTAAGATGTGTGTGATCTGATATACTTCCTCTGCATTTAGGTCATGAGGTCCCACAATAGGGGGCACCAGGTGTTGATAGGGACACTCTCTGATAAGCTGCACTACTACGAGGTGTGTGCAAGTCATGCTTTTCTATGTTTGTTTAGTTATCTGGCAGATACTCCCGCACTGGGATGTTGACTTTCGCTTTGACACTGATAGAAAGATTACACAACTTTTAAAGGACTTCTTTCATGGTTTACTAACTGCAATTTGTTTTCACCCCCTCCACTAGTTTTTAATGTAAGCTACCAAAGTGTGGTTTTGACCTGAACGAAACCCTGCTGTTATTTCCACGTGAGGCAGGCAGACAGAGCTTGTTGGTTTTGGCCACTGTAGTCACTCAGTGGAGTTGGCAGTGTCTGGGACTGTTGAGGACACACTACCTCCTGTCTGCCCCCACCCTCCACTACACCACCCCCTGCTCAACCTATCACTGTCAGAGCTCACCTGACGAATTACAGTGGAACCCAGCCAAAATACAAAACTGGTTTAAAGGGGACAAAGAATAAAAGTTGGTTAATTGAGTTGTAACTGCTTGATATAAACAACAGCATACATACTATGGTAGAAACAGTAGTAATAGTGAGAAGAATACACCCTTGTTCTTATTTGGTTCTAGTATTTGCCCAATTTAACCATTAATGTGAACTTGGTTTTGTCAGGTTCGAGTCCAAGTTTACTTCCGGAGTCAGTCCCACTTTAGAACCAATTTAGAAGTGATTGTGCAAATGTGAATGCACCCTTGCAGTAAACTGCCCACTCAGTCACTTTTACTGTCTGGTGGTTTTGTAGGGAATAGTTCAGAATGAGTGTCTGTCTGTGCAGGAATTAAACGTCTGCAATTATTACAGCCAGCCAACACAAACTTACACTAAATACAGTATTATTAATTAGTGTTTCTTGTATAAAAAAAGAAATTCTATTAGTTGAGCTATGCAAAATTTGAATATTGTTAATAATAAAAACAAACAATAAGACAGACAAAAATTATTAAAAATATAACAATATAAATTTGCAACACAACAGTGCAAAAGTGTATCTGGTGACAAATACACACTTCTTATTGTTTTGTTTTAAATGTGCAATACATTTTGAAGGACTGCCATAATATTGTCAGAATATTGTTATAGGGATCATTTAAATTACCAAGATAATTGTCAATATTGCCCACACCTTGCACTTTTTCACTTTTGAAACACAAGTCTATGTTTTGGTTTGGTTCATGGTTTATTCACATGCATTAGTGGCATCTGAAATATTAAAACCCTTTACAGATTCAAGATCCAGCCACTAAAACATAAGCTATCATCTTTTAATTCCACTGTAACAATCAAATCAATACAAGTGAATATGTTTTGATTTGTTTTTTTCCTCAAGGGACACATTTAAGGCCACTGGCAACTGTGTCATATAAATCCCACCTCCAGTTCCTCTGTTATCAGCTGATGCAATTTGCCACTGTAGAAACAGATCAAAGGCTCTAATGTGATGATCAGGAGCCACTTAGAGCAGATTTACAGCAATGCCCACTCAGGCATCTCTGGATTTTCAATTGGAAATTGACTCAAGCAATTTTTATGATCTGCCCGGCAATAATTTTTACGTCAAACTGATCATGTCTTGAATGCTTATATTTGTTTAGCTGATGGAGAAATCATCATGTTATTATTACACATCAGTTTAACTCTTTGACAGATGGATGGAAAAAATTTAATTGGGTTTTAAGTGAGGAAGTGGGGCTCATTAAAATTTGTGCTATGCAGGGGAGTTAATTGATATGAAGTCCTGCTGGCATTCTGCATGTGCACTTGCAACATTTACCCAGCCTTAGACCCTCATTAAGCATGTCATGATGGGGGACCTGTTGCTGATAGCTGAGAAGGAGTAGTAGTACTAGTAGTAGTCAATTTGAGTATTTTCGTGTAGCCTATTACCTCTATTATTAAACATGTAATTATGACCAAAAGTTGTGTTATTTGTTCTGTTCCTCGATTGCAGTGCATCGCCCTAGAGCTGAAAGACAAAAAGTCACTAAGTCTGATGGTGTGTTGGAGAGTGCGTGTGCTGGCTCAGCTGTGCGCATGCTCCGCTAAACTCAGAGGAGCAGCTAATGCAGTTATATAACAGTCAGCGCAGTTGGCGTCTGCTGTGAGCCAAATGCTGGGCCAGTCTGCTTACATAAGTCGCATAGTAAGACCGGGGAGCGCTCACACCATCAATGTCCCCTCCTTTTCGGCTCGGTCTGGCACTTCCTCTCTCTGTCTTTCACTGCTGCTGTTTTCCTCCATCGCGCCCACTCACACTCCTCTCCTCTCAACACCAAAAAGCTTGTGGATGTGCCGACAGCTCTGAAAAATATCAGACATAAAAGAAGTCAGTGTGCAGTCATTTAGCGAAAACAAAACACTACAGCAGCTCTTCCAGTAACAAGCTGTGAAGGTAGATTGGGCTGTACGATTTGGGAAAAATATCTTGCTATTTTTTTCTGACAAACTGCAACTAGATTTTCAATTTATCTTTAATATGATAAACTGATATAAGAATCACACTTTAGGAATATGTTTTATAGCTCTAACTACTTTCACTTGTCTGGAGTGCCTGGATTTAGTTTTTTTTTGTTTTTGTTTTTTTTTCTAAGTTAGCATTTTTGTTGGTGGATAAAATTGTGGTACTTCAGAAGCTGCAGCCTTTGCGATTTGCTAATTGTGTCCATTCAAATTGTAATTTTGATTTGATTGCAATTAACCTTACAGCCCTGGTGGTGGAAGCCTTGAGGAGCACTCGCCAGAGTCTATTCTTATCCCCCTGTGTCATGCTGGTGATGTGAGGTGAGCCAGGTGAGCAGATTAGATGCACTGCCACTCACAGGCCCCTGTCACCTCTGATGTCCACTGGCCTTTGGAAAAGTCTGATCTGGAGAGGACGAAGCAGCCAGTCGCTTCTCCCATTGACCTTTACTGTATGTGACACATGAAGGCGTTGGCTCCTGCACACTGGGGTCACCGCATCACAACAGTCCCAGCATTAGTTTGTGGAAAATTTTAATTTGAATTGTAGGTAACACTTTATAATCTCTGCACTTGACTTTAACGTCAACAAACAATGAACAAAGACTTAATAGAGAAGGAACTGTTATTAAGAATGATTCAGACCTTCAGCTTTTCCGGTATGTTGCCAGCCTGATTCATTCTTAATAGGCTTGTTCCTGATGAATTCAGTGCTTTACCAAACTGTGTGTTGATCAGAAGGAAAGGTGCCAACATTTGGCCAAGCAAATGTTAACAGCCTCACTGATTCATGTATTATTACATGTGTTATATAAAGAGATCCTATAGCCTATTATAACTGAGTCACAATAAGAGAAAAACACCTAAATGTGGGTTAACATTTGACATTCACTTTTATAGGTCTGGGCTTTTGCTACTTGTTGTGTTAAATGTCTAATTAGCCTACACACACTAAATTAAAACTGTGAATTGATAGGCCTTCCCCATTGCACTTTTGAAGCTGGGCTGTAGACAAAAGCTCACAAGAGATAGCTATAGGCCTACAGTCACTACTTCTACGGCATTTCTTCTCTCACATGCTGTAGTTGCCCCTGGAATAGCCCTGTAAATTACCATTAGTAATAGCATTAACCAGGAACTGACTTGTCCGCCAATGACTTCCCTCTCTGATCATTGCTTATGTATGAGCAGCGCGTACCGCGTGTTGCTATTGGCCCACACCTCTCCAGGGGGCGGTGCCAGCGGGGTCTACGCGCGGGTTGTTGCATAGTGCGTGTGTGTTTCGCTTAGGGCGAGATGTTGTTTTGTTGTGCCGATCAGCTGAACGTGGCACCGCTGTCCGCTCTGACAACATACCGGGAAGCTCCCCCCGAAGCCCCCTCCCCGCCGCCCCTCTCCACGCACCAGCCCGTGCATCTAGCTCGACACAACCCAGGAAATGCGGACTTGTACCCCCTTCGCTACGGGATAAATGGCTGCAGCACACGCACCGTAAAGAGCTGGTAAATAACGAATTAACCTCAGTATAACTGCATGCCAATGGGATATGTGATTATTGTATAATTCTATTATAACGTGTTATTGACTTGGTGGCATGGCGGAAACTTTAGGACATGACACTGTGGGATTAAGAAAAACTCTGTAGTCCAGCGCGTTGAGGGAAAGTGGTTTGGTAGAGCTATGTGCAGATGTGACCATGGTGGCATTTGAGGGACTGCCAGGCTCAAACTACGGCCGTGTCCGCGGAGAGAAGCGGGGGCGCTGCTCATCCAGCCGGGCACATGCTCCATCATGTAGCCTACTTGATTCACACTGACTGTCTTTGTCGGCTGTGCTGTTGAGCACGGAGCAAGAGCTCGTGTCCACCCAATCAGGCCTGAACTTTGTTATTTAGCGAGCTGCACTTGACATATTTTAGGAGATGACATCATGCTTTTGTGCTCGCTTTGATTCATTATATCTAATATCAATGGCATATATACGGTGAGCACATTTTAGCACTGGGCACTGACAAACACCCTCCGCTGTAAGTGAAGTGCTCCTTTCATAGTAATGTAATCTTTTTTTATTATAGACCCACTATGCTGTAGCTTAAGTGAAGACATAGCTGCGCTCTAACTGGAAGATATTTGCATAAAGATAAACAAAGTGACTGTTGCTTACTATGCAAAAATGTGTCTCCTGACCTATGGCTATATGTCTCATTAATATTTGTCATTGCTGTAACTGTTTTGTCAGTTTGGTTTTATTTAAGTGCTGTGGGTACTGGGTAGCATGCATTCAGGCTGCACTGCCAGAAATCATAATAACCAGATAAACCCATTAATTGTCCAAAAGAAATCTGAT